CAAGCAATGGTTGTCAAGGTCTGTTTATTGAATTTAAGCAAGGAGTTTTTAAAGAGAAAGGAGGAAGTAAAGAAAGAGGAAGTAAGGGAGGGGGAGGAATGGGTGTTAAATGCCCTCAGACCTGAGCAGGTGTTGCAGAACTTTCTTGTGGTTTATCTCAGAACACTAACCTAAGGGGTGGGGTGCTTGACTAAATTGACGGTTTAGCATGGAGGTCGACAAGCCTCTTGTAAAGGAGACTTTTATATCTGACCGTGGGTGGCTCCTGACATCTCCCCCTTCTATGTATAATAGAATGGAGCATCTCTCTTAGGCTACGTGATGGGCATCCACAGCCAGGACCCTACGTTTATGATATTGTCATTTATATGACAGTGAGGGGTAGAGTCTCTGTCTTAGGATACGTGAGGTGAATCCACCCCCAGCACTCAGGGGACCTTTCATAAGGCTAGCAGCTCAAGAGTGATTGGAGTGGGCCCCTGGGGTCACAGCCTCATGCTAATCCCGTCATTGAGGAGCACTACAGCCGGTGAGACGGGCTGGCCTTCGGCATCACGATAATCCCGTCACTGACATCTCCAAGGCCAAGAAAACCAAGAGGTTCGATGATCAAGGCCTGAAAATTCTAGGCCTCTAGGAAGATTGTCAGGGTTTTCATTATGGTCAGGCAACTCAGGGTCTCGTACCTCCAGGTGATGATAATGAACCGAAACCGGTTTTCCAAAGATGGTGTCAATCTGAGACTTAATGAATCTGGTTAATCTTTGAAAAGCCAAGGCCTGAAGGAAATTAATAAGAGAAGCCCAACCATAGAACCAAGGATGGAAAGTAGCAGAGTGGAAAGCCATGGAGAGGTGGAAAATCTCTGGAGACCAGACTGGCCTCAAACAGAGATCCGCCTGCCTCTGCCTCCTGAGTGCTGGGATTAAAGGACTGCGCTGCCAATGCCCAGCATTTGATTTTCATTTTTAACACCTTGATATGTAATGTCAAGAAGAGGTTCAGTTGTTGTATTTGAGATAGGAACACAGAGAAGAGCAACAGAGAAAAATGGCTGCTTCTTCTGTGTCAGTGTCATGTCCACTTATTGTCACGAATTGTCACACTTTGGAACCCTGAAAGCAGTTGATTCTCTGCCTCTGATGATGTGATCTAAAGTGTTTGTTCTCCACAATGTGTGTTTCTTCTTCTGATAGTCAAGATTAACTCTACATCCCTATATCCTATGGAACACAGTTTTCCTCTGTCATCCCCACATTATATCTGTGCAGTCAAATATTCACCAGGAGTTGAAACCTATATTTGAGAAGATGTTCCCATTGTGGCAATCCAAGAACTGTGTGGATGTGAATTGCTACAGTACATGGACTTGTGTCCTTACATCTCAGTAAGTAAGGCCTCACAGGATGAGTAGGTTCCATCTGAGGGGTGTATCAGGTATCCTTGAACTGGACTATGAAAGTACACATTCAAATAAATACCTTAAATATCTTGCTGGAAAAGTAGAATTCAAAAAGACGTACAATCTTTGCTCGTAATGGTAACTATTGAACAGGAGATGGTAGACATGTGTGGCATGACACGCTATAAATCTGGTTTGTGAGTAGACTCAGACTGTGGCTTCTTTGTTTCTCTCTTTGACCTTTAATACCGAACCGTGACAATGGGCAGTGTGTCTGCTGACTCCTCGGGTCTACTTGTCTTAGGAAATTGCAGCTCATGTCATTCACTTGGTTAGGGTGCTCAATGGTAGTAACTCACACTAGAGAGGTCAGTGTTTTCTTCTTGTCATCTGTTTTGTTTCTCAGACAGCATTCCGTTGTGTGAGCCGTGTTGCCCAGGACTCTATGTTGCATCCTGTGGATAGGTCATAAAAATTGTCTTGAGAGTGTTGTGTGGGTGATGTGTATAAGTCTCCATAATTTCATGGAGAAGTGAAGATTCCCTTAATTACTCTGCTCTGGTCGCTTCCTTTTGAAAATGAAGCAACATGCCCCCCCCCACACACACACACACTTTTATTCCTGAGACTCTGAAAAATGGACTGTGATAAACTCATGTATTTTCTTCCCCCTCCCATGTTTTTTTTCTTTAAGAAGAGATTTACCTAGTTTTATTCTATCTATGCAAGTGTTTGCCTATTGAAGACAGAGAGAGAGAGAGGAAGAGAGAGAGAGAGAGAGAGAGAGTGTGTGTGTGTGTGTGTGTGTGTGTGTGTGTGTGTGTGTGTATGCATGTGTGTGTGAACGAAAGGTAAAACCATTCTACTTTTTAATTCATTTTCAATTACACACGGTAACTCATACTTTTAATTCCATAACTTGGGAGGTGGAGGAAGGCAGAGCTCTGTTCATTTGAAGCCTGCCTACTCTCAATAGCTAGTGCAAGCGTGCCATAGCTTCTTTTTATGTGTATGGGTGTTGATTGCATCTTTGTGCATTACTTATGTGCAATTCCGGTAGTGGCCAAAAGAGGGCGATGGGTCATATGGAGCAGTAGTTCTCAACCAGTGGGTCTCGTGTGTGTGTGTGCGTGTGCGGGTGGGTGCGTGTGTGTGTGTGTGCCTGTGTGTGTGTGGGTCTGTGTCTGGGTGTGTGTGTGTGTCTCTGTGTGTGTGTGCGTGTGCGGGTGGGTGCGTGTGTGTGTGTGTGCCTGTGTGTGTGTGGGTCTGTGTCTGGGTGTGTGTGTGTGTCTCTGTGTGTGTGTGCGTGTGCGGGTGGGTGCGTGTGTGTGTGTGTGCCTGTGTGTGTGTGGGTCTGTGTCTGGGTGTGTGTGTGTGTCTCTGTGTGTGTGTGCGTGTGCGGGTGGGTGCGTGTGTGTGTGTGTGCCTGTGTGTGTGTGGGTCTGTGTCTGGGTGTGTGTGTGTGTCTCTGTGTGTGTGTGCGTGTGCGGGTGGGTGCGTGTGTGTGTGTGTGCCTGTGTGTGTGTGGGTCTGTGTCTGGGTGTGTGTGTGTGTCTCTGTGTGTGTGTGCGTGTGCGGGTGGGTGCGTGTGTGTGTGTGTGCCTGTGTGTGTGTGGGTCTGTGTCTGGGTGTGTGTGTGTGTCTCTGTGTGTGTGTGCGTGTGCGGGTGGGTGCGTGTGTGTGTGTGTGCCTGTGTGTGTGTGGGTCTGTGTCTGGGTGTGTGTGTGTGTCTCTGTGTGTGTGTGCGTGTGCGGGTGGGTGCGTGTGTGTGTGTGTGCCTGTGTGTGTGTGGGTCTGTGTCTGGGTGTGTGTGTGTGTCTCTGTGTGTGTGTGCGTGTGCGGGTGGGTGCGTGTGTGTGTGTGTGCCTGTGTGTGTGTGGGTCTGTGTCTGGGTGTGTGTGTGTGTCTCTGTGTGTGTGTGTGTATGACGGGGGTTTCGTCCACTTTGATCTCCTTAGGGGACACAGCTATGGAAATGGTGGTTTTGGGGCAGCAATATTTCATTTTAGTTTGTGTTTATGGTATGGAAGGTGAACATCAGGATTTCGGGTTGTTGCTGTCTTTCTCTGTAAGAGTTTATAAGCCAGGAACTGGAAACCCAGAATGAAACGTTAGACTGAACAATTTCAATAAGAAGTGGTCAAAACTCAGAATGAGAGGGTCAGACACCGGGGTGCAGCGTCCTCCTGGCTGCAGCTCTGGTCTAGGCTGCAGCAAGCGTGTGTGGAGCCTGCGCAGAGCGGGTCCAGGGCGGCCTGACAGCCGAGCTGTGTGCAAGGCGGCTGGAGACCGAGTGGGAGGGAGGGAGTACAAT